AATTAAAACAACACTTAATTACGACCAAACCACATGCATCACATCCAATTTCAAAAGTTTTATAAAAGCTAGGCAAAACAAATAATGATGCATGACTTAATTTGTTACTCTTGCATTCCTCCCCATTTAAAAACAACATTATTTTTCACTAAGTCATTCAATAGTTCAGTTATGGTTCTTAAATCATTTATAAATTTCTTATAGAGGTTAGCTAACTCATGAAAACGCAGAACTTTACATGCACTCTTTGGTATTGACAAATCCGTAATGAATTTAACTTTGTCTCTATCTAATGTTATTCTACTTTTATCAACTATGAAACCAATAGAATGAACTTTTTCCATGCAAAAACTACCATTATTAAAATTAAATTTCTCTTTTTCTATGTGTAATCAAGACTAATTTAACATGCTCAAGCAAAATCTTCAAATAAATTATAATATCATCAATATAAACAACATGTTTTCTCATATATTTTCTCAAAACATTATATATTAAGCGCATAAGTGTACTAGGAGCATTAGTTAACCTAAAAGGCATAACAAACCATTCATACCATCCAAACTTAATATTGAAAGTTATTTTTCATTCATCTCCTACGTGCATTCTAATTTGATGATATCCAGATTTCAAAATAATTTTTAGAAATAGACACGAATCATGCAATAAATCAAGCATATCGTCTAACCTAGGAATAGGATGTCGACACTTTACCGTGATTTTGTTGATGACTCTATTATCCATGCATATGCGCCAAGGTTCATCTTTCTTTGACACCAATAAGTCTCGTATAGAACATGAACTCAAACTTTCTGGTATATAGCCCTTCTTCATGAGCTCCTCCACTTGCCTTTGAATGTCTTTTGTCTCTCTAATGGGAGGTATTTCTTTATCTTGAAACATGTCTTCAAATTCCTGTAAAAGAGATTGAAAAAAACTAAGCAAAGTCAAGTTGTTATAGTTAGAGACCAAAAATCCTCCATTGTACATCAGTACAAAAATTGATTTTTGTGAAAACCTTCTCACCTCTCAAGTGTAGCCAAATAACTATCTCTCTTCCTCTTTTCTTCAATTTCATTTACAAAGTCAAGTTGTTATAGTTAGAGACCAAAAATCCTCTATTATACGCTTAGTACAAAGATTGATTTTTGTGAAAACCTTCTCACCTCTCAACCGTAGCCAAATAACTATCTCTCTTCATTTTTTCTTCAATTTCATCTCTTTTTCATTTTCTTTTTTTCTCTTTGATTTTTCTCTACTTTTTCACTAACTCTTGTTTTTCTTTTTAACTTTTTTTCCTCAAACTCTTTCTTTCTTTCCTCCCACTTTAATTAATCAGCAAATACATTTGCAAAACTCAAAGGTACAAGAATGATTTTTCTATCATCTTTTACAAAAAATACCTATTCAAATAGACATCATATATAATCCTCCTGTCAAATTGTCATGGTCGGCCAAGCAATATGTCTCCAGCATGCATTGGCAACACATCACAAAGAACTTCATCTGTATATTTTCCCAAAGTAAAAGATATTAAAGCTTGAGAAATTACCTTCATTGTTCCACTATCATTGAGTCATTGGAGCTTGTAAGGTTTAGGATAATCTTGAGTTGGAATTTGCAACATTTTGATCAACATAGTACTTACTACATTGGTGCAACTTCCACTATCAATGATAAGACTACAAGCAATCCCCTTGACTAAACACCGCGTGTGAAATAGGTTGTCTCTTTGATCATCAACATCATTCTCCATAAATTGAGTTTTAAGAAGTCTTCTTGTAATAAGTGCCAAATGAATATCATCTTCTAGTTTCTTCTCATTCTTCTGGACTTCTTCAACTAGATCATTGATCTCCCCTTCATTTTTCTCGTCTTGGTTCATGATTGTACAAACAGTAGTTTTATATGCTTAGGACCTCACACACTCAACTCACTGATTTTACACTCAGGAACATTCGTGTTTAACACACAAAGGTAGGCTATTTGGGAAAGTAACTAATTTCTTATCAAGGTAGATAATATGGATAAAACAATTCTGATAGTAGCGAGCTATTCAAGACAATCAAGACAAGGTAATTATGTAGTAACAACAAAATAAAACAAGAAATGAACAAATAAATAAGGGACAAAAATATTTTTGGATATAATTGCAGACTGAAAAAAAAAATGAATTCCAAAAAGAATGGTCGTGAAGATCGAACACAACAATTCCAGATTTATATGCTTTAGGGAAAAATGAGAATAGAAATTTATTTTATCTTCAAATAAACGTGCAAATGGTATAATGATAAGGATATATTAAGAACAATATGATAAGATTTTTTTTTTATTTTTTATTTTTTATTTCAAGATCTAAATATGATCTTTATCAGGACACTGGGAAAGATAATGAAAAACGTTGGAAATGAAAGTAAAAAAATAAATGGACAAATTTAAAGAAACGATAAACAATAGCATAAATGAAAAATAAAATCAATTCTAGAGTCGGCCACAACGATGTAAACCTAGACTCTGATACCAAATTGATAAGGTAACCATAATCCTCAGCCCAACGATTTGGAGCAAGAACCCTTGAATCAAAAATAATTAACACCTCTTTATACGAAATTTGGATCAACAAGAGATAAGGATTTGGATCAACTAAGAGATAAGGAATTTGGATCAACCCAGAAATAAGGCTAGAATTAGATTTGGAAACCTTGTTCTAAATTGAGTCACTCCACAATCTAACTTGATCAGGTTTGATTGAATGACTCGAGTGCAATTCTACCACAAGAATTGCATGAAACCTAGAAATGACAAATATGATGCTCGTATTTCTAAGGAAAACGTCTCAATTTGAGATCTGAATTACATCCATCCACGAATCTGTTTTTTACATAACATATTGTGGGTATTTATAGTGTTCCGACAAAAAACGTTTGTGGCTGGGATTCAATCCGATATGTTTGTGGACGGGATTTATTCCCAATCCCCTTTAATGTCCACCAAGAATAAGTAAAATTGACCTTTCACTTTTACATAATTAATGAAATTAAACATAGTTTTTTTTTTTAACAAACATAGGTTAGTTTTTTTTTAACAAACATAGGTTTTTTTATTTTTAACAAACACGTTTTTTTTACAAATGTTGATGTGATTGAGTGGTTAATGAGACATATTTTTTTGAATCTTCTTGTCAATAGGTCTATTTGGAACACCGTGATTCTTATCACTAGCATCCTCGCTGACACCCCGCTCGGTATCTAGCTCTGATATCGTTTGTAGCGGCCCGAGGCCACCGCTAGCAAATATTGTCCGCTTTGACCCGTTACGTATGGTCGTCAGCTTTACGGTTTTAAAACGTGTCTACTAGGGGAAGGTTTCCACACCCTTTTAAGGTATGATTTTTCTTATAAATTATCTTTAGCATGTTTGTATGTATTTTAAATTATAAACTTTTGGTTGTTTAGTGAGGACTCCAATTGATGCGTGTACCAGCACATTGTTAGTTTAATAATTCTTTCAACTTCAGTTTCTTTTTTGAATTATATCTTTCTATCTGTTATTTTTTAGTCCCGAACATTTAACCAGAAAAAGAAATAAAAGAAGTGAGGGACGTAAGTTCATGGCAAAAATTAAAATTTTCAGGCAATGGAATCCATACAAGCTACAAAAAGGATGGAAGACAACGAAATGAATCAAACAAGTTCTTAGTACTAACCATGGCAAGTTCTCTAGCAACGTATTGGTGGAGTAGAACGAACAGTCACTGGTTCTTCATACTCACTGAACGTAAACCAGTTGTCATTCTGTACAAGAAGTAACATACTATTGCCATTAAAATTAATTTTGGAAGATTTAATTCATCCAAGAAACTTACTATTAGAAATCAAAAAAGGGTAGATGTAGATTTGTGCCTCACTTGATCAATAGCAATGAGCACAGAAATATCTTTCACAAGCGATAGTTCTCTTCTTAAACGAACTACCACCCCAACAGCCGCATGAGTGTGCTTGATTCCAGTATCAATTAAGTCACATATAAAGTTGAACCCATAGGCATCGTCATGCAATCAGCCCCTTTCACCATCCCAACGCCAGTTCCCTTTGCCAACGGTATAGGTTCAGAAATTTGACACAGCATTTGCAAATCTCTCCTTAATAAAGGCAGTTTTCGAAGGAAAAGTGAGAGCTCAAAGAGTACCATGTAAAGTAAATGGGTCACTGTTTCATATTATCCACAGTACTCACATGATTAGAGAGATTTAACTTTTGTCAACAGAATTAGGAAATATATCATTGAACTACATGTCTAAATCTGATGCATATACAAGGTTCGAGAGTGAAAAAGACCAAAAATAAAATAATAAAAACATGAGTTAGCGATCCAAACGACTTCAGATACGTACTCGAATTAGAAATAATTGCCTGCATCCTTGCGAGTGAGCTGTGAGAGTGAAGATGCGGAGGTAAAGAGAGGGCGACCATATGTGCCAACATCGAATGAGGGATCATCATCAGAAAGCGCCGCATATAATTCGTCTGAAGCAGCAGCGAAGGCGGAGGGATCATCGGCGGCTTTAGCGTCGGCCTTGGACTTGCCCTTCTTGGCCTTCTTAACGGTGGATTTGGTGGTCTTAGCTGAGTAGTTTGAAACAAGAGATAGGGTAGGAGAAGGATTTCAATTGCAGAGGTGGTGCTTAGAGGCAGCGGCTGATGCTCTAAAAAATTGACCTTAAAATTTTCCGGTGGTCGGGAATGAGAATGATGATGAACGCGAGGTTTCGGGTTTCGCCGGACTCTGAAGTGCGCGCCCACTGCCAACAGCCTAACACGGCGCCAAGTAGAGATGGGGTAAAAGTTGCTATTTTTATATGTTTCAGGGATAGAATGGTACTTTTGCAAGTTGAGAAAGGCCTCAGCCCAATGAAATTGTGATTCTTGTTAGGCCATTTAGGCCTCAGCCCAAGGAAACTTTGAAGTACGATCTAGAGCCTTTTGCTTGATAGGGCTCTATTCTGCTTCCGACAAGTCTACTTCTTCCTGCTCATTCGAAAAACTAGATTTCTGTCCGTTGCTCCGTGATTCTCTGTAAGCCGAAGGCCCTGAACGTGAGTTCCATGTTATCGGGCGATATACCACCTAACCAGAGCATATACATCAAGAATCTCAATGAGGAGGTCAAGAAAGAAGGTGATTCACTCTTAGCTTTTTGCTTTACCCTACTCTATCCCCTGTGTAAATGTGATTTCTTCTTATCCATTAGTCGACAACGAATAATTGAAGTGATCTACGGGACATTTTAAGTTTTTCATTTCGCCTTCGGCTCTCAAAGTTCATGCCGCTGTAGGTTTCCCGGGGGGGGGGGGGGGGGGGGGG